ATCGTCTGCGCACAAGCATCGAGACTTGACCTTGGCTGAGCTCACTCCACGTTCTGAAAGGCGCTTTAGGTCTCGCACAAGTCTCACTCCTCGTCTAATAAATATAGAAGCGTCTTCGAAAAGGGGGAGACAACTTCCCAAAACACCGGTACCATCCAACTTCTTCCAGAGTAGGCAGCAAGACCTGCATGTTATAGACGAGGTTGAATACCTTGAGCCTTTAGACATGTCTCCTTGTTCCAAGGTGCGAAATGTGGTGCGGACAGAGGAGCGGCCGAGTCCCATACGCCGGAGAAGGTCATCCCAAGGGACCGCCCGAAAACCACTACCGGAGCAGACCAACGTCAATCAGACGTATGGAAAATCTCCAAAAACCATTCAGTTTCCAGCTCCCGTTTCTTCTTCGGCTTTACCGGTAGCACAACCTGTGCTCCAAGAGAAGCCAGATTCCGAATCCCTGTCAAGAAATAGTAGTGCTACCTACGTTGCGCCGACAGAAAATATTGAACAGGTAGAGGGTGATGAAGATGACGACGAGCAACTCCACAGAAGTATTCCAGGCGCTTTTGATTTCGTGCCTGCTCAGAACGCCACATACGAGCCGCTGCTTGTGAGTTGATTGGTACTCTTATCGTGGATTTAATTTGACTCTTTGCAGTCCAACTCGATTCTGGGAGAGCTCTTCAAAGGTTCAAAGCCCAAGCATGTGCAAACCCCTCCCAAGGCGAAAACAAGTCATAAGCAACGGCCTAAAACACCAATTATAGCTCCAAATCTCGTCCAAATTCTGGTAACCCCCAATACTCCTGAATTACATTTGCAATCAACTACCGAAACCACTTCGGGCGTCCCACCCGTGGCGGCACCAGCCAATCAAACCGATCTTAATACAGCAAATGCAACCCCATCGGTCGATTCACTACCGAAAAACCCTAATATCTGCTCTGTGAAGTCACCTGCTCCCAGGCCACAGAAAAAATCTCTGCCTTCATCGAAACCCTCTGCCACTATGCCACCTCCAAACCTTTCCAAGGGCATTACAAAGCCTCAAAGGAGTTCAGTAAAACCCTCTTCTCCTGTAAAGGAAATGTCCAAGATCAAGACGGCGGTACCAACTGCAAGTAAACCGTTTAACCATCGGATTCCCGTTCCGAAGGAGGCTGCAAAGTTAATACCTGCTACATCAGCTGCAGCTCCTGTAAGGAAGTCAAAGTCAATATCAAAGACGAAAGGCCCTCAAGCTGAGAGCAACGCGCCAGCTCGCCAGAGTGGTATCTTTTCATTCGTGCCTCAGTCCTTGAGGGATGTGTTATCGCGATCCCCGAACGGTGATTCCATGGCGCCCTCCCAGGTATCAGCAACCAAGTCAATTGAGCCTTCAATACGCACAGAGGTGTACGTCGCCGAGACCTTGACAACACCAGTCGACCCTCCCATAATCCCTACGCAAGTATCGCCCGTCACAGTGTCTACCGGAAGGCCAGGACCTAAGCTCGTCACAGTGCCAGTGATTTCGAATAGTCCCAAACAAATGTCAAAGCCTTCTGCCAAGAAAAGAGCATTGGAACTGACACCGACCAAACCAAAGGGAAACGACCAGCGCCTTAAAAGACAAAAGCTCGTAGATGAAGTCACAAAGGAAATGGATATATTACCGGTCGTCCTTCAAAGCAGGAACATGGTCCCTCTGAGACGGGCGAGTCCGGAAGCGGAGATACCCAAGCCACGGAGTCGAATGCATCCCGAGGCCACTATACCAAAGCCACCTATCTTCACTTCTAAAGTAAATCGAACCTCTAGCGCAACATTCAATAGTCGACTTTCCAAGAACCAGACCGTAGACGAAGTAGAACCCACGGCTAGCGGCTGCAATCTGGTAGACCACTCGAACCCGAGGGTTCACAATACAGGTGCTCGAGCAGATACGGATATTTTTGGGTCTGTGATTCAGGATCCACTTTCCGTCCTACAAAACGAGCCTCCAAAGAGGAGGACCACGGACGCCGTCGAGCTGCCCGGAGTTGTTCAGCCATTGGAAGTAGTCATGGCAGTGCAAAAACGGAGCAACGACATTATAGAAGATCCGATACGACCTAGACCAATCGGCGACAAGATCATTGGAC